TTTCGTATACTTTATTTCTGACATTGTACAAATCTCTAATGATCCAGGATTTAATTTTGAGCCAGAATTTAAGTCTCATATAGATAGAATTTAAAGGTAGATAAATTTAAAATAACTACAAAGAAGTGCCTGATGATGAAGCCCTTAAATGTATAATACATGGGACCAACCATTCTCTACATGCATGTAAAAGCTTTGTCAAAGTCTGTAGAAGAATGAAAGAAACTTCTGAAAGAAAACAGAATATGTTTTAAGTGCTGCCTCTCAAAGAACCACTTAAGACGAGATTATCCATGGGACATAACCTGTAAGGACTGTGGAAGTAAATATCATTGCACTGCTATGCATTTGAAGAAATTTCAGTCTGTTCCTGAAACAGGTACTAAGGCTCATGGCAGCGAGAAGCCCGAGCAAAGTGCTGTTAAAGAGTCAGCACATGAACAAGATTTAGATGTCACCAACAAGAGTACTGGCGTATGTGAGGAATACCCTAGACAGTCGCGCTAAGATTTTGCCAGCTTACGTTGTTCATGAGAGTAACCCGAGGAAGTATATGAAGTCATCCGTCATAAAAGATGATCAAAGCAACAAAATATTAGCTACAGGAGACCTTTTAGATTTCTTTGATGTTTGCTCTCTAGCAGAGGAATACATAACTAGCTGATCTGGCCGTTCACTGATGCCAGGAAGGAAAGCTGGCGGACTAAGTATGCAAGCTGTGGATGGTAGTCTACAGATGAACTTCCTAATAATAAAACAGATTCCGACTTCCAACATTGCTCAACTTCATCCACATCTGAAAGACATTGGTTCAGAATTTTCACCCCTTGATGACCAGGTTTAGATTCAATTATTGATTGTTAAATATCTTCCTGAAGCTCCCCATGTATTAGACCAAGTAACAGGTCCTCCGGGTACACCCTCTGCCCAGAAGATGATGTTAGGCTGGGTAATTATAGATGAAGTCTGTCTGGGGAACATCACACAACAAAATATGTGAATGTAAAGAAGATAAATGTATATCCTATTTGGTCATCCGTCAGTCTTGAAGCCCTGTCCAAGTTTTACATGTGTACAAGAAGACACAGGATGTCACAGTGGTTTTACTCTATATAAAAAGAAAATTATGTCGGTTCCACAGTGTTTCACCAAACCAAAAAGGATGAATCTGGGGAATCCACAGAAGACAAAATGTTCATGAAGCTAATGGAGAGAGACTTTGTCAAAAAAACAGAACATGATGAGGAAGTAAGGCAAGATGCTCTGGTAAAGGCAGCCAAAATCTGTGCGATAGAGTTTATCAATTGGGTGTCAGAGATTCGAGTTCTCTAGTTGGTATCGCCTTATAAATACTATTGCTTTGCTTCAAAGATGTGTATGTGTCAAATCATTTAAAGGAAGATCTATAGGAAGTGTAGAGTTTTTCAAAGCAGTTCAAAGAAAAAGTTAGACTTCTTGAAGCAAAAATTCAGCTTCCAAAATCTAGCGCTATCCTTTTCATTTGGTGAAAATATCTATAGTTATTGATCTATTATAAAGTCCATTTTATATCAGGAAATTTCTTAAAGTAGTATAAGGAATAGGAATTCATTTGTTTGTTTAATGTTTAGGTGATGTTAGTCTACCAGTAATCTCTTTACAATTTTTTGTTGATTTGTTCTTAGTATTTCGGTCTCGAATTGTGTTACAATTATTTGATATTTGTATTCTACTTTATTTGTGTACAACTTAATATTTCCAAATTTGTGAGGATTTATATTTCCAAAT